CTAGATGTGCTTCGTTCAGTTACGTGTTGCTGTTTGATGAATATCAGCTATATTTGACATTGGTGAAAAATCGAGAATAGAGAGTGTCCGGCTTAACACCAAACACTCTCCACCCACACATTACAAATATTCTACGTATGTTTCATCAATGATATTTCACCTAACTTCAGTAATGTCAGCCTTTCTTAATTCAGCATTACACCTCCAGCTTGTAATAAACAATGTCCCGTAAATTTACTAGTCGCTTTAAGCATAAAATAAGTTTCTGAAACTTTTAATGTGATAGCACAAAAGGCAGATAACCAGCCCAGGCAATAAGCGACCCCTAAGCATGCCTTCAACTAAATGCTGTAATGTATTGTAAGGCGAGTAGGTTTGATTTCATTTTGACCTGTCGACATAATTCTCTTTATGTAATCATTTTTATCAAAACAATGTTTCCTGTTATTCATGATTATATATATATATATATATATATATATATATATATATATATATATATATATATATATATATATATAAAATGACCAGCCAATGCTGTCCAGCTGCAGGTACTTTCTAACCGTGGAAGTCATGAGCAGTGAACCAGCGAGAAACGTCACACGTACTCACATACAGTGTTTGCCTCCGTGTCTAACCAACACAAACACGTGGAGCACTCACAGAACACAGCAGGGAAACACACACCTGCTCTCTTCACACTATCAAGGGCACTGAGCTGAGCCTGGCGTAACGTAGCAGTGGAGTCGGCTCCGGTGAGCTGTGCCCCATTCTGCAACCAGTGATGGGTGCACCGTCACCATACATCTCATTTCTTATCTGTTATGCAGGTCGGCTAAATAAAAATAAAAATAAAGTGATAAAATATTAGTAATAATAATCATCACATTTTTTATAAAAAAAAAATCTAAATACCCAAAAGAAAATAAGTCGGAAACAAAAGTCAAGAATTTACATGGGTATCAGTGGCTCATTGTGACATTTGCTATTTAAATATTACCACTGCTTCACCGTTATCTGGTTCTTTATGTAAGGTCGCTCCATTAGTGTAGAAATTGCATGGTTTGTCATAAATGTGTAAAACGTGTCGAATATTAGTTGGTATGGTACTTTCACTGCATTATTACTGAAACTATATATATATATTTTTTCATTTTAAATGACTGGTAGTATGTTTTTCGCACGTTAACAAGGCAGATATTTCCCAAGTCCAGATGCCCCCTTTCATCGAAGAATACAATACTTTTCTTTAATGCAATGTTGTGCTCAGAGCATTTTTAGTTAGTAAAAATAGTACTATTTGAAATACCTCTATATCAAGTACACATAAACTTCAAAATAGCTCCATCCCGAATCATTTCATAAAATTCTGAAGCTTGCTTCTTACTTCATGTGCTTCCTTTGCTTATCTATGTTGCCCAGCTTCTTAACCCTCAGTACAATATTGTTGTCCTTACCTTAAAATCGCTCTTTCACAATTCATATTTTACCCTTCTTTATGAAAAATAATATCTTCTTCATTTTATCGCAAATGAGCAGCTTCTAGTGACATATTTTTCCATTTAAGTACAGTGACATGGTTATACTTACCTCCTTGATTTTATAGCACTTTTCTTAAGGTGTGACCATTCAGATCTTTTAAATCATTATAAAGTCGTCATTTACAATGTTTGTCTTGAGCTACTGCTAGCTACCTCAAATCTTACAGTTGTCTGCCAAAATTATACATATATTATTTATTGATTCCATCAGCTCCAAAAAGTACCCTGTCGCCTGTCACACCCATCGCCTGTCACCACCCATCACCTGTCACCACCCACCATCGCCTGTCACCACCCACCTTCACCTGTCACACCCACCATCCTGTCACCACCCATCATTGCCTGTCACCACCCATCAACTGTCACCACCCTGCATCACCTGTCACCACCCACCATCACCTGTCACCACCCACCATCACCTGTCTCACCACCACCATGTCACCACCCACCATCCTTGTCACCACATCACCTGTCACCCACCATCACCTGTCACCCACCCACCATCGCCTGTCACCACCCATCATCACCTGTCACCACCCCCATCACCTGTCACCCTCACCATCTGTCACCCTCCTCCCACCTGTCACCCACCATCACCTGTCACCCTCCACCATCACCTGTCACCACCCACCATCACCTGTCACCCACCCAGTGCCTCACACCATCACCTGTCACCACCCACCCATCCAGTCACCACCCACCATCACTTGTCACCACCCACCATCACCTCACCACCACCATCACCTGTCACCACCCACCATCACCTGTCACCCACATCACCACCCATCACTTGTCACCCACCCATCACCTGTCACCACCCACCATACATGCACACCACCATCCTGTCACCACCACGTCACCACCATACTTGTCACCACCCACCACCCACACCATCACCTGTCACCACCCATCACTTGTCACCACCACCATCACTTGTCACCTTCACCATCACACCTGCTACCCCATCACCTTCACCCCCACCATCACCTGTCACCACCCACCATCACCTGTCACCCCATCCCCATTCACATCCCCCACACCTGTCCCACCTCACCTGTCACCACCGCATCGCCTATCACCCACCCACCATCACTTGTCACCACCACCATCGCCTGCACCCCACCATCACTTCCACCCCATCACCTGTCACCACCACCATCACTTGCACCCATCACCTGTCACCACCCACCATCACCTGTCACCACCACCATCACCTGTCACCACCCACCATCACCTGTCACCCATCACCTGTCACCACCACCATCACCTGTCACCACCCACCATCACCTGTCACCACCCACCATCACCTGTCACCACCCATCTATATCACACCCACCTCACCTGTCACCCCATCGCCTGTCACCACCCATCATCACCTGTCACCACCACCATCACCTGTCACCACCACCATCTGTCACCCCTCCTCCATCACCTGTCTCCACCCACCATCACCTGTCACCACCACCATCGCCTGTCACCACCACACTCGCCATATCACCACCCACCATGCCTGTCACCACCCACCATCCTTGTCACCACCCACCATCACCTGTCACCACCCACCATCACCTGTCACCACCCACCATTGCCTGTCACCACCCACCATCCTTGTCACCACCCACCATCACCTGTCACCACCCACCATCACCTGTCACCACCCACATCACCTCACCACCCACCATCACTTGTCACCACCCACCATCACCTGTCACCACCCACCATCACCTGTCACCCTACATCACCATCACCACCCATCACCTGTCACCACCCACCATTCTTGTCACCACCCACCATCACATCACCACCACCATCACCTGTCACCACCCCCATCACTACCACACCATTGCTTGTCACCACCCACCATCACTTGTCACCAACCACCATCACCTGTCACCCACCATCACCTGTCACCCCCATACCTGTCACCTGCATCACCTGTCACCACCCATCTCAATCACCACCCACCATCACCTGTCACCACCCCACCATTGCCTGTCACCCACCATCACCTGTCACCACCCACCATCGCCTGATCACCACCCCCATCACTTGTCACCACCACCATCACCTGTCACCACCCACCATCATGTCTGCCATCACCTGTCACCACCACCATCACCTGTCACCCACCATCATGTCACCACCCATCACCTGTCACCACCCACCATCACCTGTCACCACCACCATCGCCTGTCACCACCCACCATCCTGCCACCCACCACATCGCCTGTCACCCCATCACCTGTCACCACCACCATCACCTGTCACCTGTCTGTCCCACCCACCATCACTGTCACCACCCACCATCACCTGTCACCACCCACCATCACCTGCCCCACCCATCACCTGTCACCACCCATCACCTGGCCACACCACCATCACTTGTCACCAACCACCATCACCTGTCACCACCACATCACCTGTCACCACCATCATTATCACCACCCACCATCGCCTGTCACCACCCACCATCGCCTGTCACCGCCCATCACCTGCCACCCACCATCACCTGTCACCCACCATCGCCTGTCTCCACCCGCCATCACCTGTCACCACCCACCATCACTTGTCACCATCACCATCACCTGTCACCACCCACCATCACCTGTCACCACCCACCATCACCCACTGCACCCACCACCATCACCTATCACCACCCACCATCACCTGTCACACCCACCATCATACTGTCACCACCCACCATCACTTGTCACCACCACCATCACCTGTACCACCCATCACCTGTCACCAGCCACCACCCACCATCCTGTCACCCACCATCACCTATCACCACCCACCATCACCTGCCACCACCACCATCGCCCTCATCCCACCATCACCACCCACCATCACCTGTCACCACCCACCATCACCTGTCACCCCCCACCATCACCTGTCACCACCCACCATCACCTGTCTTACCACCATCACCTGTCACCACCCACCATCACCTGTCACCACCCACCATCCTTGTCACCACCCACCATCACTTGTCACATCACCTGTCACCCACCATCACCTGTCACCACCCACATCACCTGTCACCACCACCATTGCTTGTCACCACCCACCATCCTTGTCCACCCACCATCACCTGTCACCACCCACCATCACCTCTCACCCCCACCATTACCTGTCACCACCCACCATCACCTGTCACCACCATCGCCTGTCACCACCCTGCATCCTCACCCATACCTGTCACCACCCACCATCACCTGTCACCACCCACCATCGCCTGTCACCCACCACCATCCTTGTCTACACCACAGCCCTGTCACCACCCTCCATCATGTCACCACCCACCATCACCTGTCACCACCCACCATCATATGTCACCACCACCATCATGT